TTGTTATCAATATGACTCTTTATTTTGGTTAACAGTTGGCTTATGTAGATGGCTGCTCCCATGTTGGGGGCATAGATATTTACAATTGTTAGATTTTCTTGTTGGACAGACCCTTTAAGAATGATATAGTGTCCTTCTGTGTCTCTAATTACAGACAGGGTTGCTGGCCTCTTGTTTTCCCAGCCTGTCTTCTGGGGGAGGGGCCTGCCGCACTGTTACTCAGGCAACCCTGTTGGGGCGGAGTTGCCCTGCCCCCCTGTGGCTGGGGATGGGCTCAGCAGAAATCAGTTTTTGGGGCGTTTGTTCTCTGACAGCTTTCCCTGGCGGCTTTCTGCGTCTCTTCCGTGAGTCAGAGCAGAAGAGACCATTTCCAACCCTCTGCCTCCGAGCAGAGAGACCTCAGTCTGTTCTTCAGTGAGCTCTCCAGGCCACACCGTCTCCGTTTCTGTCCGTGCTGCTATAAACTGCAGTGTCCTGGGTTGTGCACCCCTCCGCAGCGCCCCAGTCCTGCCTCCAAGTCGGGGCACGTCTCTGCCCTTTGTGCTTCTAAAACCGCCAGCTGCTCCCAGTTCACACGCGTGACCCCGCCGCTCCGGGTTTCTGCCCCTGGGGCTGCCCTGAAGTCCTTTCCCCAGCGCTACCCATCTGCGAGTCTGTGCCCCGTCCCCAGCGCGCCGAGGCTGTCGCTCAGTGGCGGTGTATGATCCCCATGGCCAAGCTCCCTCCCGCTGCCGTTTATCCTCCGATATCTGCCCTCGAAATCAAGGCTCCCCGCTTCGTACCTCAAAACCAACCGCCTGTGATATTCTGTTTGTAGAGATCCAGATCTTCTTACGTCTCAGGCTGGTTTCGTGGGTGCTCAGAGTGGTCTGGTAGATATCCAGCTCAATTCCGGGGACCGGTTGAAATAGGGTCCCCTACTCCTCTGCCATCTTTCCTAGTCCCCGACATACTTCTATAAATATAAGCTGCTACTACCAATCCTTTAAGGTATGCTCTATTGTACAGAAAACAGTGGTTTCTTAAGAAAATATCTTTGTGTGGGAGAGCAAAAAAATATGCAGTGTAAATTAGGGAAAGTTATTGATATTGTTCACCATTTTAAAATTTAGTTATTAATATATATTTTCTAAAAGTAGATTTCTATAATATGGTATGTTTTATCATTGTTCATTTTCCAAAATAATTTCATATATTATTCTATTTGTTTCTCATAGTTAACCACAAGGTGTTATTTACCCTATTATTATTCCATTTAATAGAACAGAAAGTAAGTTTCAGAAATATTTAGGTATTTAAGGTGACAGGGCTTCTATAGGTGAAGTCATAACCAGAGCTTTTTGTTAATGTGCCCTCTTGCTTTGGGCCTCCTTTGGAATTCCTGAGATACTCCCTTCCCCAGAGAGAACTGCAAATTCCATCTCTATAGCTGAAGCGTCTCCTGGGGTACTTCATTTTCCTTTCCCTATTTTCATATTTCAGTAGACAATCTGGAAATACTGTTGGTTTTTCATATGGGGATAAATTTTATATTAAAAAATGGAAAAATGGGAATGATATGAGGAGTCCTAAAATATACTTACTGGGAAGAAAAGTATTTTCTTTTTGGCTGTGGCTAAGGCACAGAAATAGCCTTCTCTCTCTCTCTCCCTGTCTCTCTCTCTCTCTCACACACACACACACACACATACAGAGAGAGAGAGAAAGAAAAGGAGAATTTCCTCAATGGAGTTTTACTTATTATTTACACAAATAAAGTTAAGAGTGTTAATAAAACTGTGAAGAAATGCTTTTAAGAACCATAACTGGTGAGTCAGGCATTGAGATGGTTACATTACATACTTAGGGGCAAAGTGCTAGAGTGGCACGGTCGGGATTTAGCTGTATTTCCATTAACAGGAGCCATGAGGCTAAATTTCTATGTACTACCATAGCAAATTTACCTTCTAATTTTATTTTAATGTTTTGAGTACTTAATTTCCCATTTTTCAAAAACACGGGAAGGAGTATCTCCTACCATCATGATAATAGCTCCTGAGAACTGCTAGAATGTTAATACCATTCAAGTTCAAAAAGAACTTAAAGAAATAAGCATACAGCTACCACTAGAAGAACAATCTAAAATTCTGGAGCTTCAGTAAAGCATTCAGAAAGATTACTTTATCTTTTGGTACAAAATCATACCCAGCATGGAGGGGACAAGTTTTTTGAATCTCTCTTTAGCAGAAATGAGGGATACAGTTAGGCTGAAGAAATGTTCTTCCATTTTATTAGAAACAAAAAACAAACAGAAAGACTCAAAGCCCTAAAAGCTTTAGAAAGTCCAGATCAGATTTGGTTTTGAACATTTAGAATAGAGTGTGGTAAAAAGGGCAGGCTTTGGAGCCAGACTGATTCAAATCACAGCTCTACTACTTGTTACACAGCCTTCTCTGAGAAAATTATTCTCTCAGTTTCAGTTTCCTTATCTATAAAATGGGGATAAGAATCTCTAAGGGACAGAATAGTGGTGCAGATCAAATGAGAAAATTAAAGTGAGGCCATCTCATAATGTTTGTCTCAGAGGAACAAAGGCGAAAGAAAGTAATTTCGGGGTACCTACTATCAGCCAAATATTATATGAAAGTCTGGGAATATAATAGTGAACAGGACAATGTTACTTGAAAACATGTACTTATTAATAAATGTTTGTGAATGTCATTCTTCTTTAAAAAAAATCCAATAACAGTAGGCAGCCTGGATAAAAATCAAATATAATAAAAATATTTTTAAAAAGGTGTAATAAAAATGACTTGGAAAACAAACTGAGGGTTCTAGAGGGGAGGGGGTGGGGGGATGGGTTAGCCTGGTGATGGGTATTAAAGAGGGCACGTTCTGCATGGAGCACTGGGTGTTATACGCAAACAATGAATCATGGAACACTTCATCAAAAACTAATGATGTAATGTATGGTGAGTAACATAACAATAAAAAAATGACTTGGGATTTTCAGGTCTACTTAACTGTATTAAAACTTTCCATTTCTCCAGATCTCTCTCTCTCCCTCTTCTCTTTTTTTACCATAGTGATCTGTGACTCTGGCGATAATGCCTTAAATAAACATTATTTGAAAATGCCTCTATATTAATTATTTCTATATGCTTTATTTCATGCTGTATTTGAATTACTTACACATATACCATATTAAGGGGTAATAACAGTACACATCTCTATCAAAGGTTCTGTGAGGACTGAATGAGTTATGTATAAAGCAATGAAAACAGTGCCAGGCACCAGTAAACCCCTGATAAATGTTAAACACTATTATTATAGAAATTAAATAATAAACCTGCATCATCTGGAATGAGCAATAGCTTTCAGAATTGAGAGGTATGAAGTAACCAGAAATCCACAAGGTGGCTCTCAAGGCTTGGCTTTGAAACACAATAGAAAATAGAAATAAGAAAATAAAAAAATTAAAAAAATAAAATTAAAAAAAAAAAAAAAAAAGAAACACAATAGAGTTGCTTCGTATTTCCAAAGAAATGAAGAAAACTTATGAATGCCAACCTGACTTTTAAAAGACACTCATAAATTCATAATTAATAAATAACTGGAAGACTACAAAGCTGTTTAATAAGTGTTATGTAATAGAAATTATATAAAGTGGAGAAAAATGAAGAAAATGAACAAATTTTATAGTTCTAAATTGAAAGAATCTGATGTTCAAAACAACTGACATCACATTTATCATATTCAGAATCTAAAATGTCAATATAAAATGGTGAAATTCATAGTGGAATCGTAACAATTAAATACATCTTACCAAGATGAGAAATGTGAAAGCACAGAGCACAATGTCTGGCAGCTAGCAGCTGTTCAGTAAACATCAGTTAAATCTTAGGCATATAAAATACTTTGAAGTTACTATCATTTTATGCCCACTGACTTTTTCATTTGAAAATTTATTTTCATTGCTTTAAATCAGGGCAAACATTTTCTGTAAAGAGCTATATAGTATTTTAGGCTTATTAGTGGGCCACATAGTCCTTGTAGTAACTGTTCATTCTTCCCTCATGGTGCAAAAGAAAAAAAAGCAGCCATTGACAAAGGAGTCTGGCTATTTTCTAATAAAACCTTAATTTCAGAAACAGGTGGCCACCTTTGGCCTTCAGGCTCTAGTCTATCTATTCTTGATCTAAATCATTATCTCACATAATTAAATAAAACCTTTTGTAAATCTTAGGATACAATCAATACTCAGATTACTTGGGGAAGTACTTCTCAAACTGTAATGTGTAGTAAATCACTAGGGATTGAGGCGAAATGCAGATTATGGTTTGGTAAATCTGGTATGGGGCCTGCGGTTCTGCATTTCCAAAGGGGACGCAGGCTTTTAAGGTCCTGAGCATATGCTGAGTAGCAAGGTTATCAAACTCCCAGGTCTCAAACTTTCACTTTCTTTTTTTTTTAAAGGTCTTATTTTTAAGTAATCACTAAACCCAAAGTTACAACCCCAAGATCAAGAGTCACATGCTCCACTGACAGAGCCAGCCAGGCACCCCTAAACTTTCACATTCTTGAAAAGAACTTTTATTTATGCAGCTTTCATCTGTCCACATTAACCTTAGAAATTAAAACTGAGAAATTAAAAAATATTAACCTATTAGTTTTTTTAAGAGACTAATAACCCTAATTAGATGTTAACATATTTTATGGAACTTAACTGTTTTTTTTTTTTTTTTTGGAACTTAACTGTATTTTATGTTTTAACTATATTTTAAAGAGTAGGACTAAATACAATTCTAACTGTATGGATAGACATGATAATTGAATACCTCAGGCACTGGAATCCTTTGGAAGATCATTAAATTAAAAAAAATAAAGATTATAACATGATAAATATGTAAAAATAATTCCTTGTAAATTGGAGACCATATATCTGTCATATATAAAATATCTGTATTATCTGGCACATTGTATGCTTTGGTTCTTATATCTTGCCATTATTTGTTCCCTACCTGTTTTTCTGCATGTCCATATTCAGGTCCTTGTGTAGGTAAAAAGCAGGAAATCTGACCACTATTTTTTGCTCTTTCTATTAGAGACATAGCTGTTCTTACAGTGGCATTTCGAGCATGTACAAACACCATCACCTGAAAAAAAAGAAAAAGTTTATTTAATACTAAAAGTCATTAAAAGATAGCTTAATACTAGTCTGAAAAAATCACCATTATGTATACAACTATTAATTTTCCAAAATACAACCCCCAGTTTATGAATTCCCCAACATTTCCTTATTTTAGAACAAAGTGTATATAGGATAAAGACAAGTTAGATAAAATCCAATAACAAGGCTTTATATACTGTTAACCTATAAATTGGTGGAAGTCAGAAATGAAATTAATGGATTATATAAAATGTTGAGTTAAATTTGTGCTTTTCTCTTTTGAAGACATGATTCACGAGTGTAATCATATATTTCGGGGTCAGAGTATAAAAATATACGAGAGCCTTATTTCTCCACCATCAGTGAAATTTCCACTATCATAAAGATGTTTAAAGAAATTGAAAACAATAAAAACACTCTTCTTTGGACAAAATCACATCTGAGAACAACCATTTAAAATAGAGTTTCGGGGACTGGAGGAGATGAAAATGCTTCTAGAGAGGCATTTGGAATTTTCTGTTTTTTTTGTTTGTTTGTTTTGTTTTTTGTTTTTTAACCTTCCTGTGTAATTACAAAGTGTGGAAATCTGAATTAGGGGAAGTCACATATCTGGATGCTTTGTCAAGGAGAAGTGGAAAAAAGTATTTTCAGGGACAGTCACCAGGCAGAATGTCAATGCAACTGAAGAGAATAAAATCAGAGAGTGAGGAGCACTCTGCATCTGCTGCCTATCAGTGCTGCCTTCTCCTCTGTGTCTTTTCTTCTTTGGCTTCCACATCCCCTCCACATTCAGCTCAACCCCAGCCTTCCCAAAGAGCCATTACTATAATAAAGTAATTTTACTCTTTTATATGGACAACTGATTTTTTTCAATTTTATATGATGTGAATAAAGCATCTCTACGTAATTTGGCATTTTAATCAAAATCTAAAACATACATTCTAAGGACAATCAGCAGTGTGGGTGCTTTGGGTGACTTAAAGACAAGTTCTAGCCCCAGCTTCCAACCAAACTGAGACCTCTAAAACTCTCTGGAGATACCATCGTATTCCCCTTGGGCCTCAGCAATATGGAGGTCCTAATTCTTGCCTTTCTCTCAATTTCTCTCCATATTTATCTGTTAATTATGTTTTCCCACAAGCTAAAACACTGGTGTTATTTCCATGGTACACATTTAGAAAAATAAGCAACTGATGGTTTTAGTCAGGGAATTGATAGGCTCATGCTAGCTGACCTAAGTAAAAGAGAAGGTCATTTTGAAAATGAACAAAAGTGAAAAGGGGAGGGAGGCCTGGAATCTGACCAGAAAGGAGATGGAGTGACACAGATCTAAAGCACACACTGTATAATTTACTCACAGTAATCTTATGCCTATAAACTTGTCAAAGAGACTGTTCCATGTATGGGATGTCAATTATAATTTAGAGGACAGTGAAATAATAGAGAATAAACATTCAAGAAACTGGAATGCTTAAATTACTAATATTCTTTTAGAAAATGTTCAAAGTCAAGGAGAGTAGATAATCTGGAGAAGACCAAAATTCCTCAATGAAAAACTCCCAAAGCATTTAGACAATAAAACAAGCACTGCAAGTCATCTAGAGAGACTTAACATTAGTTAATCACAGCCATCAATGATATAAAGCATAAGCTTTCAACCTTGGTTAGAGCTCTAACTGATTTGCTGATACTAATGTCTTTTGAAAAGAAATATGATCATAAGAATATCTCTAAAGAGTATATGAATAAAATTTATTTCAGTAAGTTCATGTATACTTGGAAAATTCTTCTGTTTCCTTATTTTCAACTAAAAAAACCCCAAATCTAACTTTGATAGGCTCTCTAGCTTTCTGGGAAAACATCTTTATCTCATGGGATATCAAGAGATTACCACTTAAACTTACTGTAATATTTTCATCATTATTGACATGAACTGTTTAATACAAAGTTAGAAAAATTTTATTAACTATAATGCCCTGCTGAAGCTTCACCAGTTCAGAATCTCTCAGATTCTACCATCCTGTCTATTGTAAAAAGTGAGGATATTTCAATAGTGAGTTTCTTCTTAAAAAATTAAGGCAGACTAGGGGCACCTGGGTGGCTCAGTTGGTTAAGCGTACGCCTTCGGCTCAGGTCATGATCCCAGGGTCCTGGGATTGAGCCCTGCATCGGGCTCCCTGCTCAGCAGGGAGCCTGCTTCTCCCTTTCCCCCGTGCTCCCACTCTCTCTATCTATCTGTCTCTCTCTCTCTCTCCAATAAATAAATCAAATCTTTAAAAAAAAAATTAAAAAATTAAGGTAGACTTTTTTTCTCTTATGTAAAATTAAATTTTACTACACACAAAGCCTCACTAAACCCTAACATTAAATTTTAAGGAAATCTCAATTAAAATGAAATTATTTATTTTTTTAATTAATGTATCCACTCATTCAAATGTTTCCGAGAATTCTGAGAATCACTATCAAGCCCTGAGAATTCTGCAAAAGAGAGAGGCAAAATCTCTGCTCTCAGGGAGATGACAATCTAGTATGATGTATTAAATAAGCACAAAATATTTTTACTTGCTAAGTATTTACTAGCCATGGATAAGTAAAATACTGTTGAAAGAGGAAATATGAAAACGGACAAGACATGGTCCCTTCTGTAAAAGACATGTACAATTTAAGGAAGGAGAAAAAACTGTACACGTGGAGCATGGATAACACAGGAATGCTAACCATGGAGCTGGTGGGTCACCTTCATTCATCCATCGCACTACATTTACACAGTACCTACTGAGTACCAAACCATGCACTAAGCACCAGGGAAAAATGATAAATAGATTTATCTGCTTGGGTCTGCTCCTGTTGGCAAGGAAGAATCACTAGTAATCAGCCCTATCTGGCTACAGAGGCAGGTGCAGGCTGGATGGAGGAGCATACAGTAGTATTTAGAGGGCACGTGTTGTGATGAGCACTGGGTGTTTTTTGCAACTAATGAATCACTGAACACTACATCAAAAGCTAATGATGTGCTGTATGGTGGCTAACTTAACATAATAAAAAAATAATAAAATATAATATTTATCCTTGGTAATTTTAGTGTATTAGCTTGAAGAAGTACATTCTCTTTCAAAGTTTCTCACACTGAGATCCAGGGACCTCTTTGTGGGAATCAGTGCTGGTGCTCATTAAAATAGACTTCTGGGTCCTCCCCTAAAACAACTGAGTAAGAATATTTAGGGGTGGGACCTAAATTTTGAATTATTAACAACTTTTGAGATGACTACTGCACTACTGTGTGAAATTAGTTAATAATTACCACCAACTTAGTTTTCTTCTCCTAAGTAAGGTTAAAAGGAAACATAAATAAAACCACCACTATAAAGATGATTTTAAAAACTCCCTTATAACCTATCTTTATTTACCTATATATATAAAATATCAGGGAATATGAAGGTATTTCATATAACCAGCACAGCCCCAAGATCATTTCCCAGATGGGTTTTTATAATGCAACCAGATTTCTATTCTCCATAATTCAAATGCCACATTATGTAAATCCTGTTGATACGAAGAACATAAGGGAAAATAAAATATGACCCTAAATCTTCATCAATTATTTCAGTCTGACTTGTCAACTTATCATTTTGCAAATTATTTTCTACTGCAGCCAAGAGAAATATTAGTTACAACTTAAAGTAGCAATTTCTTTTTATTAAATGATCCATCACTTCTTGTTCAGTAAAATAAACTCTTTTCCTTATTAAGAATTTTCTGTTTAGAGGCTCCAACAGAAGCCATTACAAGGTTTTGGGTCTCTATAACATACTTGATTTTATGGTTTGTTAATTTGGTTAATTAATTTAAATAGACATATAAAAATTCTAACAGGACAGCACTGTTTCATATGGCAGAAATAACTCCAAATTAATCTTAGAAACACTACTGATAACTGAATAGCAGTTAAATGGGCATGTGTCATTAAAATAAGATTATAACAATAGATTCAAGTCAACATTGGTAAATTTTAATTGTTTTATGAAACTGTTCATATTTTTACTTGAGGTTTGTTAGATTAATACATTTAAAAATATTGTATATACTTGTTCTTAGTTTAAAAAGCCATTTAGTTTAAGAATATATAATTAAATCAGTCCTGAGATAGGAGAGAAAGTATGTGAATCTGCATTTTGGTCCTGTTATTTAATGTGCCAAAGACAGTGTTCTTTACATGAGATGCAGATTAAAAGTAATGAAAGAGTGAAAGCTGAGATAATCATTCGGAAAAACTAGAATGTTTAAGTAACCCATATTGTTTCAATGTATTCAGAGGGAAGGATATATTATTTGAAAAATACCAAAAATTCTACTTTGAAACATTATTAAAGAGCAGTGACTTAGAACAAACTATTTAATCTCTCCGATTCTTATTTTCCCCACTCCACAGATAGTTACTAGAGTCAAAGGATTACTATAAAGTTTGAAGTAAATAATGTAAGTGAAAACACTGCATTTAGTAAAGTCATAGCTCTCAAACTTTAGAACGCTTCAAAATCATCTAAAAACACAATTGCTGCCCCTTTCCTCCACCATCCTTTCAGATTAAGTAGGTGTGAGGCAAGCCAAGACTCTGCATTTCTTTTTCTTATTTTTTTAAGATTTATTTATTTATTTGAGGGGGAGGAGGGGCAGAGAGAGAAGCTGGCTCCCCATTGAGCAGGGAACCCAGATGCGGATGGATGTGGGGCTGGATCCCAGAACCCTGAGATCATGACAGGAGCTGAAGGCAGAGGCTCAACTGACTGAGCCACCCAGGAGCCCAAGACTTTGCATTTCTAACAAGTTCCAAGGAGATGCTAATGCTCTTTGTACAGCAACTTTGAAAACCTCTGTCAGAACTGGTTAAGTATCAGCACCACTGTAAGAGTAATGAACAATAAAGTGAATTTGGATTAAAAGACCAAATGGTGAGATCAGTAAATGACTGCTATAAATTGACACCTA